GTTCTCAACCTGTGGGTCGCGACCCCTTTGGCGGTCGAACAACCCTTTCACAGGGGTCGCCTAAGACCATCCTGCATATCAGATATTTATATTACAATTCATAACAGTAGCGATATTACAGTTATGAAGTAGCAACGAAAATAATTTTATGGTTGGGTCACAACATGAGGAACTGTATTTAAAGGGCCAGAAGGTTGAGAACCACTGATATGGGGAAGGGTGAAGGGCTTGGGAAGGATCACACAGAAGAAATGGGAGTTTCATAAGGAAAGTTGGTAGGGGAGGAATGAATATTTATATTGCAGTGATGGTTTCACGAATACATATTTTGAAAAAATGCTGTTAACGATAGTGTTGTGAAATTTATTTTAAATTGGTTATACCTCAATGAACCTGTTCAAAATGTGCAGCATGTATCAAATGTGTGTCTTAAAGAAAATTTGGAACATTTTATAGATATTAACAAGATCATTCTAAAATTGAATGAACAGAGAATGGATCTACAACACCTAACAACATTTTGAAATAGTAGAATAAAGATGGAGGAATCTCTCCACCAATTTCAAGATGTATTATATAGCTACAATATTCAAGATCGTGTGGTATTACTAGAGAGAGAGACACATAGATCAATGAAACAGAAAGGGAACCTAGAAATGTCCCATACAGCATGGCCAATTTATTTTTTATAAAGCTTCAAAAGCTATTCAATTGAAAAATAATAGTCTTTTCCCAAACTGTGCTAAAGTAATTGGCTATCCATAGGCCAAATATTGAGCCTCAGTCTAAACTTCACATCTCATACAAAAAAAATCAGCACAAATGTATCACAGATCTAGTTGTAAAACAAAATCTGTAAAACTTATATAAAAGAAATAGGATATGAACATTCAGGTCTTAGGACTGAACAAAGAGTCAATAGATTTGACACCAAATGTACAATCTATACAAAGGAAAATTAATAAGTTAGACTTTATCAAGTTTGAAAACTTTCGCTATACTAACAATTTTATCTCTCTTAAGCAATTGGAACAGCAAGCTACATACTGTGAGAATTTGTTTATAAGTCATAAATTGACAAAGGGATGAGTATTTATAACATATACAGAACTCTCATAACAAAAAATTTTTAGACCTAATAGAAAATGGTCAAAAGAAATGAAGAGAAATTCCACCAAAAGTATATACTTACAGCAAATAATCACATGAAAATTGTTTCACAACTTAGAATGGCTAAATACCATAAAATACTGGCAATGATACAGACAGACTCATACATTGCTTGTTGTAATGTCAAATACAGCCACTCTGAAAAAGTTAGGCAGTCTCTATAAAAACCAAACATGCAAATAGCATATGACACAGAAATTGTACTTTGGAATATTTATCCCAGAGAAATGAAGACTCACGTTCATAAGAAAACATGTACTGAAATGTTTATCACAGCTTTTTCTGTAAAAGCCAAAAACTGGAAACACCCAGGTGTTTTTTAAAAAGTGGTTTACACAAATGGAATACTGCTCGGCCATGAAAAAGAAGGAAATCTTACAGTTTGTGACAGCATTATGCTATGTGAAATAAGCCAGAGAAAGACAAGTGCCATATGATTTCACTCATATGTGGAATCTAATGAACAAAAGGAACTAACAAGCAAAAGTAGAGAAAGACCCATAGAGAGCAGGCTGACAGCTGTTGGGGAAAAAGGGACTGGATGAAGGGTGGGGTGAAGGGATTGAGCAAAAGAGGAAAAAAGGGAGGAAAACTCATAGATATAGACAACATGTGGTGATTGCCAGGGAGAGGGGGGATGAGAAGAGGTGGAGGAAGGTATAGGGGTGATAAATGGTGATGAATAGATACTTGACTTGGAGTGGTGAACACACAATACAGTGTACAGATGATGTGTTGTAGAATTGTGCACCTGAAACCTATGTAATTTTGTTAACCAGTATCACCCCAATAATTCAATAAAAAGGAAAAAATGTGAATGATTACACCCGTACCATGGAATTCTCCTCAGTAATAAAAAAACAAAACAAAAAAAAACATTTGTATTCAACAACCTTGATGATACTCCAGATAATAATTCTAAGTGATAAAAGCCAACCCAAAGGTCAATAAGTAATGATTACCTTCACTGCCTGGCCTTCGTGGCTCAGTGGTTGAGCGTCGACCTGTGAACCAGGAGGTCACAGTTCAATTCTCGGTCAGGGAACATCCCCAGATGTGGGCCTCATATTTAAAAAGGAATGATTCCACTTGTAAAATATTCATTGAATGAAAAAAGTTACAGAAATGAAGAACAGATTAGGAGTTGCTAGAAGTCAGGGATAAGCCAAGGGGCAAGGAGGACTTGCCTATAAAAGGGAAACACTAAGGATTCTTGTGGTGATTGAAACGTTTTGTATCTTGACTTGTATAAATGTTAATATCCTGGTTAAGATACTGTACTATAGTTTTGCAAGATGTTAAAATTAGGGGATACTGGGTACAGGGTATCCAGAATATCCGTATTATTTCTTAATAACTGCAAATGAATATACAATTACCAAGAACAGAAAGTAAATTTTGTTTATAGTTTTGATATAAAACTGAAATTGATTGGAATGGGAGAATAAAAACACCTACTACATAACACTTGTTTCAAAAAATAGTCTTGGAGAAGACACCTGCGTCTTGTAACAGTCAAATAGCACAAACATCCTGCTGAGAAAAACTGGGAAAGCTGGAAATATATGAAAGACATCTCTTCAAGGTATCAAACTCAAGGAAGCAAGCATGGAAAGGACAGGATATCTCAGCAAGAAGAGAGATTCTGGTAGTGAGATCCAAATTTGGTAACATGTTTCCCTACAAAGTATTTGCCAACTCAAAAGAGGTTATTGAGCACTGGAGATGCTAAGCCTAAACTTGAGGCCGAGGAGCTAAGCACCTGAGCAGCACTCTCAGCATCTCAAGGGACACAAATTGAGCTCAGGACCCAGACAGACAGAAGGCTAATGAAACAAAACAAACCTTGTGGGCTATTTTGGCATCCCTGAGGGCTATACCCTAAATATCTACATGAACCAGAAATAGAAAACGCCTCCAATAAGGCTGGAGACCCAGTTTTAAAAGTTGGTTTCAAGGTGAAAAGGAACTTCCCCCAGGTAACTGCCTCTGAATAGTGAAAGAAACGGTCCCTGGAAGAAGAAAAATATCACCCAGAGCCTACAGTTTCCTCTGTAGAAGTTCATACAGAAAATCCAACAGGCACTAAAAGTAACCATACATGCAAAAGTATAAAAGGATTAACATTAGGCCTTTGATCTGTTTTCTCCATTTACTGGGGATACCTGGGACAAAAAGAACTAAGACTTGGTTACACATATGCAATTCAGACAATGGGATACCACTGCACACCATGAGAAGGACTACCGTTAAAAATACTGAACATAACAAGTGCTAGCAAGAATGCAGAGTGAAGGAGACACAATGCTGGTAGGATGTAAAGTGGTATAATCATGGTGCAAATATTTGTCACATTATAAAATAACTTAGAGATACCCTAATCATGTGATCCAGCAACCCACTCTTTGAAGTTTATTTTTGAAAAATGAAAGTATCTGACTATATAAACATTTATATCATTAAAGTGTGTACAGAAACAAATATATACATAAATATGCATTTACATAAATGATTATTTATATATGTGTGCACACAAGTGACATTTTAATTTGCTTTATTTTTGTTAGCAATATATCATGGATATATCATCTATAACTATATAAGATCTACCTGATTGGTTGTATAGTTACATAATATCCATGGAATGAACACAATATAATTTATTTAAAATAGCTCTTTTGCCAATTTTATAACCAGAAGTTTATGCTTAATTTTGTGTAGCTGTGTTGGATACAGTCCTGAAAGTCAAATTAGTTTTTTAAAGAGTTTGTAAAAGAAGAATTTGCTAAAAATGCCAAATTAATTTCCGAAAGATCAGTACCATTTTAAAATTTCTTGATAATCTGGTATCAAGATAAAGAGAATCTTGTTATTTAATTTGCACCAATTATTAAGCATATTTATTATAATTGTTGAAGATTTATGCTTATGCTGTATAAATTGTTGTATTTTACTATTCCACTGATTAGTTTATTATTTTATAATTATTTGGAATAACAAAAATTTTATATATTAAAACTATATAGATGTATATACTCATGTTACTTTCTCTTATGTTTTATATATTGCCTGTTACTGAATCAACTCCATAATATACTTACATGATAGTTTCAGATATAGACTATGATTTACCAAAGCAAGTATTTTGCTGTAGGTAATACAAGTGTCACTTTATTCTTTATAAAGGATTTTAATTTCTTCTTCTATTTTTTTCTCAACAGCAAGTAAGCAATTATAAAAACAATTTTGATATTTTACTTGGAAATGCACTTAAAGTATTTTACTTTGTACACAATTTGTAGATATGTATTCAATAAGAAATAAAAATTAAATATTTTCCTATAGATTCTCTTTTGCTTCTGCTATGTTTTTTTTGCTATTGTCAATCACATAAGTAATATTTTTATTTAGATAAATGGAATAATTTGGACTCACAATATTGGAATTGAAATATTTGAGGCATTTTATTATTTAACTATATATTAGGCATTTATATGAAATATAACAATATCAGTGAAGTAAACAATTGTGTACCAACTGAAAACATGTGAAAAATAAAGATATATTACCTATCCGAGAAAAACATGATTTATAAGATGGCTGGCTTCTCAGCAGAATCCATGGAGAACCAGAGAAAATGGAGAAGAATCTTTCCAATGCTGAAAGAAAATATAAAACTGTCAACCCAGAATTCTACATCCATCAAAATTCTGCTTCCAAACTGAGAGTTAAATAAGACACAGCCACATAAACAAACCTGAGACAATTTTATGCTTGACTAACTGTAAATAACATTGCTACCAACATGTGGTAGACACAGAATCGCGGGAATGCCGGAAGAGTCTGGGCTGCAGTCCAAGATGGTGTCCTCCATTGGTAGCAGTTGGTAATGGCAGCTGATTGGAACTTCAGCCTGGGAATTTACATAGCAACCAAACTGCTGCATTCTATTGATTATAAGAGAGTCATTAAGGGTAGCCTAGAAGCCCTGGTTGGTTTGGCACAGTGGGTAGAACACTGGTGTGCAGACTGAAAGGTCCCAAGTTCAATTCCTGTCAAGGGTGTGCAAGAAGCAACCAGTGAATGTTTGTTTGTTTTCTCTCATATCATTGATGTTTCTATCTCTCCCTCTCCCTTCCTCTCTGAAATAAATAAAAATATATTTAAAAAAAAAGGTTGGCCCAGGGGCCACAAACTCCATCTCTTAAAACAAGGGAGTGTCAAAAATATGTGGCATGTTTTTAAATCACCACAGATAAAAACCCAAGAGAAGAGTTTATATTGAATAACAAAAATTATTTAATAAACACAAAAGTAGGCACAAAAAGAAAAGAGAAATAGAAAGAGATGGAAAAATAAAAAATAAAGGACAAGATAGACAACTATATCTCAATCTATATTAATAGAAGTATTATTTTTAAGTCTAAATATTCCAGTTAAAAGTCAAAGTTTTTCAGACACACAAAAAAGTCCCAAGTATACACTGTTTATATGAGGGACAATTTAAATTGAAAGATAATGTAAGGTTGAAAGTAATAGTATAGAGAAATAATGTAACATTAATAATGTATCATATATTAAAATTAATAAGTAAATTGAGCATAAGAAAACTGGGATAGGTAAATTAATGCCAAACACATTAAACATCCAGGGAAAAAATTACAAAGAAGGATATTTCATTATGATTTTAAAAATTCATCAAGAAATTAATACATTATTTACATGAGAAATGTCATTATAGAATCTAAAAACAGACAAACTATAAGCAATTTTATTCCAATAAATTTGAAATTATATGAAATATCTAACCCAACTTAACCAAAAATAAAATGGGAAACCTGTATGCTCCTATGCTTATTAAATAAGGTGAACCTGCAATGAAAAATCTATTTATATAAAAACCCTGGGTGTAACCCCATCACGACCGAGGCTCAACCAACTGGAAAGAAATCAGTCCTGCAGGGGTCGCCTTGGCAATGGCTGCTCCCTCCCCGAGCTGTTTCCTGCGAGGGCAAGGTTTGAGGCAGGAACCCGCCCTTGGAGCATGGAGGCATATCTTTATAAAGTTTTAATACATTATATTAGAGGTCGTGGTGGTACTGTTTTCCCCACAGCGTCTACAAGAATTGCTGCAAATTTACTTCTTGGTGGAAGCACCTTTCATTCCCAATATAAATTACTGATTCCATTAAATGAAACAGTGAAGTTGCTAAAACTATTAAAAAGGCACAAATTCTCATTATTGACGAATGCACCATGGCATCCAGTCATGCTATAAATGCCATAGACAGATTACTAAGAGAAAGTATGAATTTGAATGTTGTATTTGGTGGGAAAGTTCTTCTTAGAAGGGATTTTCGACAGTGTCTCAGTATTGTACCACATGCTATGCTATCGGCCATAGTACAAACAAGTTTAAAGTACTGTAATGTTTGGGGATGTTTCAGAAAGTTGTCTCTTACAACAAATATGAGATCAGAGGATTCTGCTTATAGTGAATGGTTAGTAAAACTTGTAGATGGCAAACTTGATAGCAGTTTTCATTTTGGAATGGATATTATTGAAATCCCCTGTGAAATGATTTGTAATGGATCTATTATTGAAGCTACCTTTGGAAATAGTACATCTATAGATAATATTAAAAATATATCTAAACGTGCAATTCTTTGTCCAAAAAATGAGCATGTTCAAAAATTAAATGAAGAAAATTTGGATATACTCGATGGAGATTTTCACACATATTTGAGTGATAATTCTATTGATTCCACAGATGATGCTGAAAAGGAAAATTTTCCCATCGAATTCATTTCTTAATAGTATTACTCCTTCGGGAATGCCGTGTCATAAATTAAAATTGAAAGTGGGTGCAAGCATCATGCTATTGAGAAATATTAATAGTAAATGGGGTCTTTGTAATGGCACTAGATTTATTATAGAAAGATTACAACCTAACATTATTGAAGCTGAAATATTAACAGGATCTGCAGAGGGAGAGGTTGTTCTGATTCCAAAAATTGATTTGTCCCTATCAGACACTGGCCTCCCATTTAAATTAATTCGATGACAGTTTCCCGTGATGCCAGCATTTGCAATGACTATTAATAAATCACAAAGACAAACTCTAGACAGAATAGACATATTTCTAACTGAACCCGTTTGCGCACATGGTCAGTTATGTGTTGCTTTCTCTTGAGTTCAATGATCATGTAACGTTAAAGTTCTAAATACTTCATCAAAAGGGAAATTAGTCAAGCACTCTGAAAGTGTTTTCACTCTTAATGTGGTGTACAGGGAGATATTAGAATAAGTTTAATCACGTATCAGTCATTGTTTGCATCATTGTTATTTTCATATCATGTTTTTGTTATTTTTACATAATGCCTCTGTTATTATATCCTTTAGTTACTGTTTATTAATAAAGTTATATAAATTTTTATCTTTAATTTCTTTATTGGTTAAGGTATTACAAATGTGTCCTCATCCCCCCATTAACCCCCAACCCCACCCCCACACACACTCATGCTCTCATCCCCCTGTTGTCTGTGTACATTGGTTTGGCTTATATGTATGCATACAAGTCCTTTGGTATATCTCTCCTCCTTACCCCCACCCGCCCCTACTTTCCCTCTGGGGATTGAGAGTAAAACTTACTTGCTTTGATGTCATGTTTTCTTTTGATATCAGCTTCATACAAATTCCAAGAAAAGAGAAGATTTGGGAGTAACGTGTAGTTCATTGGGAAAAAGCTTCCCAATACTTCCAGCCAACTCCAGACAATTCCCCATGCATAGAAGTGCTTTATAAAAGTTGATTCACTGGCCCAGCCAGTGTGGCTCAATGGTTGAATGTCAACCCATGCACCAAGAAGTCACAGGTTCGATTCTGGGTCAGGGAAAGTGCCCAGGTTTCAGGCTTGATCCCCAGTAAGGGTCATGCAGGAGGCAGCCAATCAATGTTTCTCTCTCTCCCTCTTCTTTCCTCTCTCTCTCAAATCAGTAAAGACATATTTTTATATATATATTGTTTTATTGCTTAAAATATTATGAGTAGTACATTTGTCTCCTTTTTTCCCCCCTTGAACTTCCCCCAGCCTCCCCTAACCCCCAGTGTCTTAATAAAGTTATATATTATTTTCATATACATTTTACAAATTTTCTTTCATCTATCACACTTCTACTATAGAGAAAGGGCAAATAGCAATATTAAAATATTTCCTCTAATTCAGCGGTTCTCAACCTGTGGGTTTCGACCCCTTTGGGGGTTGAATGACCCTTTCACAGGGGTCGCCTAAGACCATTGGAAAACACATATATAATTATATATTGTCTTTGTGATTAATCACTATGCTTTAATTATGTTCAATTTGTAACAATGAAAATACATCCTGCATATCAGATATTTACATTACAATTCATAACAGTAGCAAAATTACAGTTATGAAGTAGCAACAATAATAATTTTATGGCTAGGAGTCACCACAACATGAGGAACTGTATTAAAGGGCATTAGGAAGGTTGAGAACCACTGCTCTAATTAATTCCCTTTTAATGTGCACGAATTTCATGCACCAGGCCACTAGTCTTCTATAAAAATCCACAGTCTCTGGTGACTGAGTTGGTGAATTTTCTCCTATAATTGAGAAAGAAATGACACCAATCATACAGAAGATATTACAGATAATAAAAATGAAAATAGTAGCAACCCCTCCAAATGTTTGAAGAGTATTGTAATATCTTTACACAAAGGTGAGAAGGATATCATGTAAAAAAAGAGCATCAAAGGATTATATCTTTCATGACCTAATACCAAAAAAAGTATGTTTATAAAATTGCATCCAAAGTTACATCAAGTCTGACATATCTTGACAAAAGTGGGTTTTAGCCAATAAGAAATTCTTGTTGGATTAATATTTTGAAATCATAATATTGCAATAAAACAAAGGAAGAAAATAGTATGACTATTAAAAGAGATGCAAAAACTGGTATAACTTATCACCCACTTAAGATTATAAATAATTCAAAAAACTGCAGCTAATATTATAATAAGTGCTGAAATATTTAAATCTTTCCTTGAGATCAGGATTGAGAAAAGGATTCCTATCACCATTTCAATTAAATATTTATGTAGGGCAATGCTACACAAAAAATAAAAAAAAAAACACAAGGATGAGAAAAGAGGAAATGCAACTGCAATTATTAACATCTTAAATGAATATATTAATAAATGAATTGAGCAACACTGATGAATGCATGATTAATAAAAAATCAACTGTAATTCAAACTGCTAGAAACAAATAATTAAAATATTAAATTGACTATAAATACATTTCAAACAAACTCAAAGATTATCAAATATTAGGAAAAATTTTAATAAAATTGTGCAAGCACTTTGCATGACAAAACTATAGAAAATTATTGATAGGAATGAATGAAGATATGAACAAGTGAAATGGTGTCCAAAGTTTATTAAAGAAGATTCTTTTTTCCCAGGCGATCTATGCTTCCCACATGTTCTGTAAGGCTATCAGTAAAAAAAAGGCCTAATGAGGAAAATTAATATAAAATTACATTCCCATTAAATAGAAAGTGTAAAAAGACTACTGGTGACTGTTAAGGATAGTTTAGAAAATTGTGGTTTCCCACCACTAAAGTTCCAAGAGAAGCTGTGCAGTAGCTGGTGAATATATTCTACTGGGAAATTACAGATAGGTTGATGGCTAGTGACTGCTTCATTTTATCTCTTAATATCTGAGTTCATATGATTCTATTATTTGAGAGTATTTGGGTATCTGGCTACCTAACTATTGAATTTCTTATAGCCTACTATTCCGGAATGGATCTTTTAAATCATGGGGACAGTTTTCATTTTTATGATTAAAGTTGCATGCTTATGTAGGACATGGGGTGTATAATTTGCGGAACATTTCAATGTTAGCATCACTGTGGACTACTGTGGGTTATGTTCATGTTGGTGCCATGCCCGTGGGTACCTAGAGCCCATAGAATTGAAGAAGTTTTGCTTTGCATGTTTGAGAAAATGACACTAAGGTCAGAGAGGAGAAGACATTTCCCCAAGTTTATGGAGACAAAATGGCACAGTTGAATCTGGAAGCCACCCTCCTTAACCCAGTCCTGAGGGTTACATTAGCTATTCTCTCAAAGTGAGTTTCCATAACTATGGACACTTAGTAAGAAGTGTCTCTCTTTTATGTAGGAGGCAGACACATTCAAAATCTTCAGGATCATTTCCCGAGACCTGAGTAAATTCTATACCTGGATTCCGTTTGGGTCCCAATCACAATTATTGTTTCAGTTTCTATAGTATGTGATCACACATCAACGAAGCGAAGCTCTTAGCTGACTTCCCCCTCCAGGGTCCCAGGTCTTGGAGGAGAGAAGCGATGCTGAGCATCCAGGTGCGGGCTCTCAGACCTGCGGAAGGGGGACTCCCAGGCTCCCAACCAAGGGGGCTTCCCAGAATGCAGCGCGAGACCCCCGCGGGGCCCGCCCCGCCCCGCCCCGCCCCGCCCCCACCAGGTGCTCAGACGCACAAGGCCTGGCGGTTGACGCCAACGCTCTATTCCCTCATTTCCGTCTTGGCGTTTCCAGGGAGTGAACGCTGTGATCTGAGGATCTGAGGCTGGTAGGCCTCGGGTCAGAGAGCGAAGTCCAGTCTCCCTTCGTGGTCAAGGAGTGGAGGAGAAGACCCGGAGCGCCCGGAGGTACTGTCAAGCCCATACCCCTGCCCCTGCGGTCTCCCTGGGGAGGAAACGGCAGGACTCTCACTCCCTGGGATGGGGAGGGAGGTGGGAGTGAAGTCTTGGTCTAATGGACCAGGTTGGGGGGTCAGTCTTGGTCTAATGGGGGTGGTCTTGTCTGATGGGGGTAGGGAGGTCTTGGTCTACTAGGGGTGGGATGTCTTGGTCTAACGGTGGTGGGGGTTCTTGGCCTAATGACGGTGGGGGTTCTTGGTCTAATGGTGGTAGGGGTTCTGGTCTAATGGGATTGGGGGTTTTGGTCTAATAAGGGTGGGGAGGCTTTTTTAATAGGGTTGGGGGTGTTTATCTAATGGAGGTGGGGGTTCTTAGTCTAATGGGGATAGGGGGATTTGGTCTAATGGGAGTGGGGTGTTTGGTCTAAGAAGGGAGGGTAGTTTTGGTCTCATCTGGGTTGGGTGTCTTACTTTAATGGGGGAGAGGGGTCTTGGTCTTGGTCAAATGTGGTTGGGGGTTCTTGGTCTAATGGAGGTGGGGGTTCTAGGTCTAATGGGGTGGGGGTTATTGGTGTAATGGACATGGGTGTTCTTGGTGTAATGGAGATGGGCGTTCTTGGTCTAAAGGGGTTTCTTGGTCTAATGGAGATGGGGAGTCCGGGTCTAATAGTGATGGGGGTTCTTGGTCTAATGTGGTGGGGATTCTT